TTATCTCTGCCGCCATCTTAGTTTCTCCCTGTTGCTCTTTCTTAATCAGTACCCCTGTTATACACTTATAGTCTTTAGTACAGCAAATTATTTGAATGACTGGCTCCTCTATTGAATGATGAGCCATTTAAAATGAATCGTGAGTTACACATTCATACCTTACCCTCCAAGCCTTCAGCATCTCATATATAACAGCTGTCCAATATATTCATTTAAGTTTAATTAGATATAATTGAATGATTAGATTTCATTTGAATCAAGGAAGTGCCAAACAATAGGAAGAGACTTCAAAACAATACCCATTGTTCCTTGAAATTTACTCATGATTCAGAGCGTAAGCATCTATCGAATTGCTGCAAAACTCAGAATAATTTCAGGTGAAACACTACGGTGCAACAGATGTATCCACCCATGGACATGCCCTCCGGTTATTACCTTTTGTTTCTCAAAACTCAGGTTGTCTCGCAAAACATCTCCAGACACCAGCTCCCCCTCCAGGTGTGTCAGCTGACCCTGAAGGGCCTCCAGCTTGTGCTCAGCTTTCTGGGCTCTCTGCAGGGCTTTCTGGTGAAACCCAGACTCATTTTCCAACTGTTCAACAAGCTCAGATATTTGGGCTTCAAGCTGGGAAACCATCTGGAAACAAACAAAACAAGAATAAGCCTTGTTTTCGATGCGCTGAAGTGTTAAAATCTAGTGCTCAGTGCAAACAGCATGTTATTTATAACAACATCATCCAGATTCTTCAGAGAAATGGACTAAGAAACAGGTAACTGATCGATGTATTTGAAATAGATCTGTATCCATTACCTAATAAAATATTTTTGATTGGCCTTTTTAATTTTTATCTAATTCCTCAAATAAGTTACTCCATAAATGTTTATGGATAACATTTACTTACCCCCTAAAACTGCCATTAATTTAGGAATCTTAAAGCTTAGTTGGAAAAAGAGTTCAGACAGATAGTACTTTTAAAACCTATACAAGTGTCAAAAAAACTATATAAGCATCATTCTTCTTCTATCATATGTAGTGGTTTAAAGACTATGCAGTGAGTTCATCTTGATAAGCAACCTTGAGAAGTTATCTGAATTCAAGAGCACAAAGCTACAGGGTGGGGCAAAAGTGGATTTACAGGTGTTCATATGGGAAATAATACAATAAGTGAAAATAATAATACGAGAGTAAACTCTGTTTCGTGTACTCACAACTGGAAACCCACTTGTGCCCCACCCTGCATTGCTTCAAGCTCCTTCTCCATTTTCTATTGAGTTTGGTTACTCCTTCACTAACCGTCAGTGGTGCTGCCTCTGGGCTACACAGTTATGGGGCAATGTTAGCGTCTGAACATGTGAAAGGTCAAAATTATTTTAATATGGTGGATTCTGCATAGGATCAATGGCAGTGTATAGCAGGCAGGACAGTCTGAGTATTACCTCCCCTCCTATAATCTAAGGTGACTGCTTCCCTGCTGAATGCCCCAAGCCTCACACGACCCCTCACTTGCCCAGCGCTTCTACCCTTCTGTGAAGTTGCTCTCTTTGTCCTGACCTTCCCTTAAACCAAGAACATAAGTTTACCAAAGACTGCTGGTATACTTTGAGAAACTCAAATTGATTCTTGCAAATCCAGTTTTCATAAAACGTTGACTTCAATAAAAACGCCAAGTGTGAGGTGATAAATTTTGTTTTGATGGTTTGTTTTAGAAAAGGAGAGGGGGGAAAGTAGTAGATATTTACATAATAGTACCATTCTCACAGAAATTGAAATATCTTGATGGTTTCAGATTTACTGCTTTTGTTTAAAAAAAAAACACAACTTCTGCTTGTCTATCTATAAACAACCATGCTTAAAAGCAAGAGGAAATTAAAGCTGTGTTAAATATTTTGAAACAATCGGATTTGTTCTGAGTTTCCCTCAGAGCTTAAGCTGAGGGTCAATAGTTATAAATCAGAAAAAGAATTCACTTCAATGTAAGAAAAAAATTTTCCCTGCTCCCTATAATTATAAAGTAATGCATACCCATTGTAAAAGATCCATTCAGAACAACAACAAAAATATATAAATCAGCCAAAAAATAATCCCCGTGATCTCACTGCCCAGGGATAACAATTATTAATATTTTCAAATAACTTATTGCATGCACTGTTTAAATATCATTGAGATGACACAATAGTTGCCATTTTATCTTTTTGCTTTTACCTCACACTTTAAGCATCTTTCCATGTCAGGTAGTAGACTCCCAGTTGCTGGAGGTGGCCAGAAGTTGGCCAATCATTAGTTAAGAATGTGCTGGGGTGGGTTGAAGTGCTCTAATCAGAAATGATAGACTACTTGACCTCTAAACTCTCTAATCCTATACTTCTATCGTTTTCAAGGTCCCAGGGCTGTTTCCATTCATTCTAGACCTCTGAGGGTGGAAATAATCAAATATTTGTGGGAAGTTGCTCAATGCCACATCCAAGGAATTATATTTCCCAAGGAAATTTCAAATTTCATTACAGAATCTGAGACTCTGGGAACCATCATTTCATATTTCCCATCCTAACTAATGATAGATCTGATCTTAATGCAAGAGAAAGGTATGCTTGTCTTAGTACAACATACCAAGTACAACCTACAAAACAATGGCCATCAAACATCGTCCCCAAGATACTGCCTCCTGGGGACTGTTTAATGATATCATATTATACAGCACATTCCTGTGCAGCAGGAAATGTGGTTCCACATTTATCTTCACAGAGGGAGACCAGACTGTGGGACAGGGACCTAGGTGTCCAATCGTCCTGGTTTCAAATTCCAACTCTACTACTTGCCAGTGTGTTAACCAAAGCAAGTAATTAACCTCTTTGAAATGTACAGACTTTGTTATGATAATTAGGTGAGATCATTTAGATCATTTGAGTAGCACGATATTTACACTCAATTGAAGTTCACCACACCACATACATTTTTATCATCAGTATCACTCCTGCAGTATGTTGTTTCAGTCAATGCTATGCTTTTGTCATACAGAGTTCAAGGGACCTTTTGGGAAGTGTCCTGTGTCCTACGTCATGTTCCTCTACTTATTTTCAGCCCACAGAGCCTGAAGTCTTTCTGAGGACAAATAAGGGACAAGCATGTTGAATCAAAAGTGAGCAGGTCTGTGCTGAATCCTCACCCTGTGTGAACCCAAGAGTGTCCCATGGACCTTGAAGACTCAGCAGAGTAGAACTTGTAAAACCACCAGGATGTCCATGGTGAACTGTGCAGATCCACCAACTGCCCTCTCAAGGTTCCGGTGTCCAGAGAGGATCCAACAGCTGAGAACCTCCCCATACTCTATGCATCAGAACTCGGCTTCATAAGCTTACTGAGGTCTCAGTGGATACACTACCAAGTTTTTTCAGAGCTAAATTTACATAAAAGTATCTAATAAATGAACGTTCCAATCTGACTCCATTCTTGGGAACATCAGATACCAGTGCCTGGATGAACATAGGTGTCCCACCGAAACTGGTGGTATGATTTCCACACCAAGAAGTCTGAAGATTCACGAAGCATTTCTTTCTCTCTTTTTCTTAGTATCGACTATTAATATACCCCTGATAGTCTATGGGACAGAATGTGCCATGGATTTCGGCACTAGAAAAAGGCAGGGAATTGGGGGAGTGAAGGGAGGATGTAATAAAGAATATCTACCTCAATTGTTTTTAAACAAAAAAGGACACTGAAGTAAACCACACTTCAAACCCAAGCAGCTTGATTTTTGGAAGGGAAGTAATAACGCCCTAAAGAATTAATTCACTTCCCAAGGACAAGTTGTTGTTGATTTCACCAAAGAGGTTCTTTTGCACTAAGTTTGAGCCAAATGGAAACATGAGAGCTCTAAACTGGAGAAAAAGCCCCTTGGGTCATTTAAGGACCAGTGCCTTTTGGACTTAAACAACTCTTCTGATTATTCAAGTTATTCACTTAAGAAATATATAAAATAAGTTATCAGGAGCCAGGTGGAACATCTATCAAATTCTCCTTCCTTCCTGTCAGTATGTGTGGCTAACACTGTTGACTAGCTAATCCTACCCTCTCCACCTGTGTGCATATCAACTTTTGTTATGGGGCCAATTAGGTCCCCCAAAAAGAGGTATGTTGAAGTCCCCCAGTACCTTAGAATGTGACTTTATTTGGAAATGAGTCTTTTTTTATTTAAATTTTTTATTGTTTAAAGTGTTACATGAGTCTTTTCCCCCCATGGAAATGGAGTCTTTACAGAGATAATCAAGTTAAAATGAGGTCATTAGGGTGGTCCCTAGTCCAATGTGACTCATATCCTTACATAAAAGAGAAGTCTGGACACAGAGACACATACTAATAAAAGGAAAATGATGTGAAAACAGAGAGAACAAGCCAAGTGGTAGCTAGGCTGCCAGAAGCTAGGCGAGAGGCATGGGACAGATTCCCTATCACACCCTCAGAAGAAACCAATCCTGCTGACAGCTTGATTTGTGACTTCTAGTCTCCAGGACTGTGAGACAATACACTTCTATTGTCTAAGATCTTCCTCCTCCAGTTCATGGTACTTTGTTACAGCTATCCTTGGATATTAATACACTCGGGGCTGGGCGAGCCAAAATCCCTATCTGTTCACTCTTCCCAGTGCCCTGTAGCCAGGGGTGACTGTGTAACACACTTTTAGACAATGAAAGGTCAGTGGGAGTCTGTGGAAGCTTCTTGGTAAATGTTTGCTTAGGAGATTTGAAGACTAAGAACAGAGCAGAATGATGAGCTCAGAAGGGGGCATGGGGACTTGTGGGACACACCTCAGGTCCTTCGGGGCACGAGCTGGGTCCCCACAGCTCCCACTGTTGGGGAGCTGTTAGACCAAGATGCACACCAATGGGGAAAACAGAGCCTTATGTGTACATAAAGCAGAACAGAAGAGCTTGGTCTAGATCAGCCGTGGGCAAACTACGGCCTGTGGGCCGGATCCGGCCCGTTTGAAATGAATAAAACTATTGAAAAAAAAGATCGTACCCTTTTATGTAATGATGTTTACTTTGAATTTATATTAGTTCACACAAACACTCCATCCATGCTTTTGTTCTGGCCCTCTGGTCCAGTTTAAGAACCCCATTGTGGCCCTCGAGTCAAAAAGTTTGCCCACCCCTGGTCTAGATAAATGTTTGTGAGCCTCTGTTAATTTATCTCTAATTACATGGAAATCAATCACAGTCATAATTCTCATGCAAATGATTAACCAGTGAGGCAACATCTAAAAGGGAGACAAAAATTTTGGCCTCCCCCTATGTCCGTAGCAACACAATTTACAATAGCTAAGATTTGGAAACAGTCTATGTGCCCATCAGCAGATGAGTGGATAAAAAAAAAAAATTATGGTACAGCTACATAATGGAACACTATGTGGCAATAAAAAAGGAAGAACTCTTACCATTTACTGCAACACGGATGGACTTGGAGAATATTATGCTAAGCCAAATAAGCCAGTCGGAGAAAGATAAGTATCACATGATCTCACTCATATGTGGAATCTAATGAACCTAATAAACTGATGATCAAAAATAGACCCAGAGACATAGAAGCATGAACAGACTGTTGAATCTCAGAGAGAAGGCAGGGGAGGGGGGGTAGGAAGAGATCAACCAATGAACTTGTATGCATATATGCATAACCAGTGGACACAGATAATGCGGTGGTGAGGGTCTGGTGGGGAGAGGGGGAGTGGTCTGGAAGAGATTAATGGGAGGGGGGAGGACCTATGTAATACTTTCAACAATAAAGATTTTTTTTTTAATTTGGCCTCAAAATGCTAAACTAAAACCTGAAAATGTCGCAACATTCTGTCATTGTGCAAGACGTCATTTCAAAAACACGTGTTACGAGTGTCCTGAAATTTCAAGGCTAAATAACATCTAAATACTAATGTAGAAATCCTGGAAATGGACAGTAGAATGTATCTTTAAATGAGTGGTTTTCAATGGAGGGGGGTGGGGGGGAAATAAATTCACCCCTCCCCCTCCAGGGGCACATGGCAATGTCTGGACACCTGTTTGGTTGTCACAAGCTGTGGAGAAAAGGAATGTGCCTGATATCTAGAGGGGAGAAGTCCAGAGCTGCTGCTGACCACCCAACAGGGCACCAAATGGCCCCCAAACAAATGACCGCCCAGCCCCAAATTTCAACAGTGCCCAGGCTGAGGAAGTCTGCTCTCTAAGATATAGTAACGCTTTCAAAAAAGAATATTAAATTTTGCTATAAGCAGGAAAGCACGGAACAATAGAAATGGCCGCTTGAAAAAGCGTGGGTGGTGTCCTGATGAGAATTGCAAATAACGGAGAGTACGAATGAAGAGCAAAGGGGTAAACAAGAAAAGCAGGAGGCTACCCGGAGTGGAGAGCCCAGCCAGAGCCCAGCCTGAGCCCGCCGCTGGCCTCCCCGTGGGGATCACTCAATTTTCAACTGTATTTGACCACGGCAGCTGGCAGGGCATGCCGCCTCCCAACAAACACATTCATCCCTTTGTACGGCGCCCGTTCTTCAGAAACATCTCTAAGACAATATATGAAACCCATTTTCTCCTGATTTTACTTGAAGGTGAGTCACACAAGAGGCGGGCTATCTGCTTGATTTCAGGCTTTTAAATGGGGAGAGCAGCTACTTAAAAAAAATTACAGGGTGGGAAAGGCAGACAAAGGCACTAAGAGACGCTGCATCATTGTAATTGTTATGGGAAGTGGGGGAAGGCCATCCAGCCTAACCAATTTACACCGTTTTGCTTTACAAAATAAACATATACATTATGCTGACAATTTTGTGCCACATTTCACATGCTGGAATTAAAACAGCTTCAGAGAACATTTGGGAAAATAGCAGAGGGAAGCAATAAAATGAAATGGCAAAGAACCATTAGCTATTGAAGTCCATCTATTACTATTCAAGGTAAATAGCCTAATGAAGTCCTCCTTTCTCAGTTCTGTAAATAACTTCCTTCCCCCATCTAGGGCCTATCTGTGTACTGAATCACAAGGAAAACGGGGTTCCTCTCACAGACCCACACTTCTTACAAGGACGAGCACTTGATAGCCACACAGAGAAGAACCCCATACTGGACAAAGCGGTCACGGGGGCTGCTCCTAGAGCACATGTGAATGCTACGGAATTCTTAAAGGGATTTAAAACGCTATATTGCTAGAGGAGATTGACGAGTGCAGCCATGAACTCTGAGTCAACGATCACTCTATGGTTTTCGGGAACATTAAGACATGGACATGCACATTGTCTCCTTTTGACCACACCTGTAAATACTAGTAGAAGAAACAGTTCCTAATGGAAGTACACATAGAGTTTGCGTATGACTCACTTTAAACCTCATTAATTAGAACTTTAATCATTTGCACTGGATGATAACTTAGAGTTGGGCTGAAGTTGACTAAGCAAAGCTTTACAGAATGTGAGATTTGTTAATAGTATAAACAAGATAACAAAATTAAATAAGCTCCAGTCATAGGTGCGAATCAAATCATCTTTCTCCACTTGTTACAAAGGTCCCCTAAAAGACTGTTTTAGGCACCTCCACATTAGCAAAAGGAGGAGCGAAGGAGGGAGAGGCGGAGAAGCAGGGGCAGCAACAGCGCACATTTATTGTTGCTACTTGTCAGACAGCATGTGAAGGACATAACAACAACTTGTTTTGCATTAAGCACTTGTAGTAAACAACCACTTTATGAGACAGGTACTTAGAGATCTAGGAACCCTTACCTGCAATTCCAAAATCCAAAACGATCTGAAACCTGGCAGCCTTTCTGTAACTCATTTACTGATAATGCTTGGACAGCCCCGATTTGGCAGCAAGCCCTGACCCGAGGTGACATGAGACTCTGCATGAGCTGGGAGGGCCGGACGTGGAGGGGCTGCTCACGGTGTCGCTGCAGAACGATGCATATGGTAGATTACGGGGCCTGGCCCTGGCCCCACCGAGGGGGGCTGTGGCAGGCTGCCTCCTCCATCGCCTTTCTAAACTCCGAGAAATTCTGAATTCAAAAACACATTGGACCCCAGGGGCTTCAGATAAGGGGTGTGGCCTGTGCTGTCCCTGTACTGAGGTGAGTGAACACAATCTCCCAGGCCATTCTCTGGGGAACCTGACCCAGGTCACACCTGGAGGGAGGGAGTGTGCGGCAGAGACAGGACCCACAATGTAGTCAGCAGTTGTGTGAGTGACTCTCCAGGCTTGGTAAGTACGATACATCATTGAAAGTAAGAAACTGAAATCACATTTAAATGATACCTTTCACTCACTCAGATAACGCAGTTACTGAGGATGCTAAGTGAATGAGTGCACTGTGCTGGAGAGGCCTCACTCACCCTTTTCTGGCTCTCTTCCTGGCTGTCCATTTCTCCAATCTTCTCCAGAATGGCCTCCTCTGTGGACCCAATCATGCCCAAGCTGCCCCTAAGGAGGTCTGCAATTTTCTCCCTAAACGAGGTGTGCTGGCTTTGCGAGGCTGCGGCCGCCTCCAGACTGGCCTTCAATCTTCTCTCCAACTCGCAAGAGTCTTTCTTCAAGAGGCTCAGCTCCTGCTTCGAGGCATCCCAGGCCCGCTGGCCCGCAAGCAGCCTTTCTCGGAAGATCTGAACTTCCCTTTCCAGAGCTTCCTTTGCCTCTACAGCACTGAGCAAGTCCTAAGACAATGACATAGAGTGAGAACAAAAACATTAGCAGCCAATGGGAGGCACCTACGCTAGATTTTTAAGGAATCGGGGTTTAATCCTCATTCCATTTTAAAGTCGAAATCATCTCTTCAGAAAGTTATTAAATTGTAAAGGCTATGTCAGGTAAATTTAGGTGTCTAAAAAAGAGAAGAGATATATGCCCTGGTCAGGTAGCTTAATTGGTTAGAGTGTCGTCCCCATATACCAAGGTTACAGACTTGATACCTGGTCAGGGCACATACAAGAAGCAACCAATGAATGCATAAATAAGGGGAACAATAAATCAATGTTTCTCTCCCTCTCTCTCTCTCTCTTTCTCTCTCAAATCAATAAATTTAAAAAAATCTTTTAATATATTTTTATTGATTTCAGAGAGGAAGGGAGAGGGAGAGAGAAATAGAAACATCAATATTGAGAGAGAATCATTGATTGGCTGCCTCCTGCACGCCCCCTCCTGGGGACTGAGCCCACAACTCAGGCATGTTTCCTGACTAGGAATCTAACCTTGACCTCCTGGTTCATAGGTCGATGCTCAACCACTGAGCCGTGCTGGCCGGGCAACAAATAAATTTTTTTTAAAAATAAGATATATAAATCAGGGCTAGGAAAAAAATAAAATTGACATATAAGACTTTTATATGTGGACTTCTGGAAAGAGTTAATAAAAAACAAATCATTGGGGGGCAGGGGAGACTGGGTGAAGGTGAATGGGGAAAAAAAGGAAACATATGTACTACTATTTGCAATCTTTAAACAATAAAACAAATTTTTTAAAAATTGTTGACTAATATACTAGTAGATTCAATCCATATCTAGTACTGTATGGTTACAAAACCATTAGTTCTCAAGCTTGGTAGGGAAATTGATTTTGAAAAAACAGTAAACCCTCAGACGCCTAACTAAATGCTAAAAATTAACTAGAGGTGTCTCTTTAATACTAGTCTAAATAATGCAATGTTCTCATAGGAACATCATTGCATAGAGAGCAAGGTCTTTCTTTCAATATTAATTGGCTGTGTATCCCCTTTTCTCATGAAGACAAACTAAAACTGGCAGGACCTGAAGAAAGGAGCAGAGATAACTAGCCATTTGGTGGGTGGGAGAATTAAAAGTAGAGGGGGGTAAACCACCATACGGAGAATAATAATTTCAATGAATGTAAAATGTATCATTAGGTTCATAAATATAATGAAAGGCATGGGGAAGGTTACCTGAGCACCTATTTCTATTTACCATAATCTAGAACATTCCAAAGAGACATAGAAGGGCATCTTTAAAATTCATTTTTAAAAAACCAACACTTGTTGACGTCAAGTTCCAAAACACAGGAGTTCACATTAAATAAGATTAAGCAGTTGGTTGACCAGCTTGGCTATAGTATTGCAGCCTACTGACAAAAGTAGTTTATTTTTTATTAAAAATAGTAGTTAGGGTAAAAAAAAACAAAAACTAAAAAGCAACAATATATTTGCATAACAGATTCTACAACTACACTAGCCAGTAACATTTCAGGCTGCTAGTTAAAATGCAATCATGCCTTTTGCATTAAAACTGAGTTTTAAGAGAAATTTACCACCACCGACAGCATGTAGACAGGGAAAATATTACTTGAAATGCTCCTCCCTACTTTTTATTTATAAAAGAGAATGTCTTACTTTCCCCCCCACCTTTCGGTGATTTTTGTATTTAATCAAGGAAGCCTCAGGCATCAATGTGAAATAAAAGTCATCGCGTGGAGAGGTAGTTAGAGAAGCTGCCCTTTCAGAGATGTAATAAACTAATTGCGGGACCTATTTTGTGAGACGCTTTGCTCTTCGAGGTCCTGGCAGCGGCTCTGTAACCCTGCTCTCTCTCCCAGCCAGCCCTCTGCAAAGACGCCCCCCCACTGCTGATTACATGTCGGCCCTTAGAGTAACGAGTCAAGGACCCTTGATCACAAATACGATATTTTAACGCTTTACTGATGTCTTTTCAGATGGTAATACAATAGCTGCTCCATTTCAGTAACCAGTATCAGGGCTGGTGATGACAAACAAGGCCTATTATTTTTCACTTGGAAACACCAATCCTAATGTGTGGTTAGAAAGCTGAGGTCCTAAATTCCAGGATGCATGGATTTAAAAAAAATTTTTTTTGTTGTTAATCCTCACCGGAGGATATTTTCCCATTGATTTTAGGAGAGAGTGGAAGTGAGGGGTAGAGAGCAAGAGAGAGAAACATCAATGTGAGAGAGAGACATCAAGTGATAGCCTCCCACACGTGCCCAGACCAGGCTGAGGACTGAGCCTGCAACTGGAATCAAACCCATGACCCTTCAGTCCGAGGGCCAATGCTCTAATCACTGAGCAAAACCGGCTAAGGCTCGTGGATAGAAATTCTAATCTCCTCCGTTCTAAAACCCCATAGAATATTAGATATTAATTTTTATATGAAAGAAAACCCTTAATGCAAAATAAGGGAGTTTCCATGGCCAATGTACTGTTAACCAAGTACTTTCAAAAGGTCCCCAAAAAACATATCAGACACTGGAGTACTATAGACTTACTATCAATTTGGAGTTAACTACCCAATTGGCAGCTTACACCAGAGAACAATAAACACAGTAAAAATATTACAGCCCCAAGGGATTTTTTCCACCTCAATGTCAGACCGTAGTCTTACTGCCTTAGCGACAAGAACCGAAACAGTCCACTAGTGAATCCAAAGCACAAACACGTGTCCAGTAAAAATCAGAAAACTCATCTGGGATCATGGGATGCAGCAGCACATGGCAGCGGGTCCGATTTCTTTCCGGGACATGTTTCAGGCCAGTGAACGATTTGCTAATTCGCATATGAAATGCAGAACAGGGAGCCAGTGACAGGCCTTGGGGACAGCCACTCTCCTGGCGCTCTGAGTAAGCACTTCAGGGGCACAGGGCTGATCTGCTGGACACAGATGTCCTCAGACTGCAAATGCAATTACCTGCAAAGCTATCAGGAGGCAGCGGCCAGAGTGGAGTCCGGTTGCGTGGCTACCTCAAGGATACGCTGAAGTAATGTGACATGGGTATCGCGGGCCAGGACCTGAGGCTGCTGTCAGGCCACACTGACATGCAAATCAAGGCTGACCTCCACAGGGAACCACATCTGCAAATAAGGTCAGGCCCTATCGAGACAGTGACAGCGGTCCCTGTACTAAATTTACTTTAATTAATGAATCTTTAGATTCAGTCCTACTAATGCAACAAATGAATAATGATACCTTTGCAAATACTTTTAACAAAGACAATTGTAAGTAATATGAGTTAGGCATTCTATTTAACTTCTTAATTAAATGCATGTCATCATTAATTGCCAATTAAATGCATTGAGTAATGAAACCAAAGGTTTGTGATTTAAAAACACAGTCAATTCCTATTATAATGTTGCTAGCTATTTATTATATGGATTTGGATATGCGTGAGATCAAACTGCTTCTTAAAAAATACAATGACTAATGTCCAGGTGGCAAACCTCTGGCTCTGGCTGAATTCATGCAAACCCAGATAGGTCTTGTGAAATTAAAAACCAGTTGGCTGCTTCTACCTACTGCAGTTAAGGTGAACAAATAAACTCAGAAATCCTCCCCAAACAGGCACTCTCATACATTGCTGGTAGAAGTGTGAATAGATATGCTAGGTACATATTTACACCAAAATATGTAACAAAATGTAATAGGCACATATCCGGTGGCCTTGCAATTCCAGTCTTTAAAATATACCTGGAGATTATTAAATATGGAAAATAAGGCATGTGCAAAGTTACTCAATCATAGATAGCAAAAGAGTAGGTACTACATGAATATTCACTGGCATGTGACTGGTTAAATAGGAGACACCCATCCCCTGAACATTATGTAGTCTTAAAAAGAACGGAGGAAACTTTTTATACACTGATATGAAAGGCTCTCTGAGATAGATATAGTTAGTGAAAAAAGTCAAGTGCCTAACCATGTGTTTAGTACCATTTGTACCTAAATAAAAAGAGAATCTCTACATATATGCATAGGCGACTGCCAGTTCTGATCATCTCTAGAGAAGGGAACTGTAGCCAGTGGGCAGAAGTGGAAAGAAGATGACCCAGAACAGTGGCAACTCTGAGAACACCCAGGGAACCTGGGCCCATTAAAGTTCTGTCAGTAGTGATATGAACACACACACATGCACATGCACACACATGCATGCACACACACTAAACTTAGGCTGCATAAGTAAAGTATCTACAATAAGGGAGGCAATGTCCTGCTATTTCTATTTCCCTTGAACCAAACCAAGCCTGCAGTTTGCATTTGGTTCTGGGATACAAATTTTAATAGAGATACACCCCTCCTAGAACAGTGCTACTCAAACTGTGAATAAAACTCTAGTGTAACTCCTACAACTGTTCCCAGTCCCAACAAGATAATTTCAGAAATTAAGGGTAAGAGCAGTAATTTCTATAGCAGTTTGGCTTTTTTTAATTTACGATAACAACTCATTTAATAACCTTATATAACACTATCTACTTCAGGTATTATGATGAGATTTTCTGTGGATGAGAGCATTGACATCAATTTCTGAATCAGGTATAGACCCTTCGGGTTTTGTAGAACTGACACAGGAGCTACATACCTGTTGTGCAAATAAGAACACGTTGCATGTGATGGTTTAAGGTTGTTTTGCCAACCATTACCCAAAAGTATAAAGTATATCAAGCACAGTCCATTTCTTTCATCAAGAGAATTTAAATTTCCATAGAAAGATAAATTAAATCTATACCTTTACACAATAAATTGATAAAACTGTCTACCGATGAATACTTGAAAATGGATTTTGAAAACACACTTGCTTTACTTTGGAGACAATTACAAATAAATATCTTGAGCTCTCTGAAATTGCTTTAAAACCTCTTCTAGTATCAACAATCCTTTGTGAGATTCGTTTTCTACTGTAAGTACTTTAAAAGCAAAAT